CAGTATTTATACGGACCCAGGGTAGCTACAATTCTGTTCCCAGGTATCTTGCGCATGAGGCTTCAAAGCTGTGGCTTTCAAGCTAAATTCAAGGTGGCCTGAGACCAGGGTTTGCTGCCCTAAAACACTCCGCTTCCCAGTCTTCCCAGGGTTCATATAGGGAGCCAGGCCATTTTCAGAATCTTCTGGATTTGAGCTGTTCGAGTTCCTATTGAAGGGTATACCTGGAACTTCGTTACGGCAATAATAATTGCCGTTTTCATGAAACGTCGCCTTTTTCCGTTCTGCGGCGTTCTTCCATATTGATCTCATGGGGACGGCGTTTCTTGATGAACTGCGGCAGTTTCGGTCAGTTGACGGCAATTTTGGTCCACACATCCATGCGCCTCAAAGAATCAATTCGTTTTAGTTTTAGTGCAGGCGAGTATGAAAACATTGTAGGGTCTTGCTTGAAAGGCAACTGAACGTAAAAGGCGTCTTATTATATCAGCAGTTATATCAGCAAACTCGCATAGTCATATGAAGTGGAAAGGGCAGCTGATGGAAGTGTCACATGCTGGGTTTTCGTCGGTTTTCGTGGGTAACTCGACCTCTTGCGCGGCGTTGCAGAAGATTTTGCGTTTAAAGTTACGGCGTTCTTACCCGTACTTGCGGCGTTCTTCCCCGTACTTACGGCGTTTTTCCCCGTACTTACGGCGTTTTCCTCCTACTTACGGCGTCGTTCCCTTACCCTGTCTAGGGTCACTCAAGGTGGCAGCAAGACTTGTCACAACATGTCACAAGCGATCCTTTCAGCCATTGCATGATCAAAATGTGAACAAATCCTGCCGTGATGTCAATCGAGACCTTAGACAAGGGCTGCAACATCTTGAGAAGTGCTACCATGAGGCTTGAAAACGATGAGCTCTACTTACAAGTGAAAAAGGAGAAGGCAATTTCAGGGTATGGACGGACCAAAACAATATCCTCTTTGGTAGATCAAACAAAACGGCGATTCTTCTTTTGTGACGGCGTTTTCACTTCTCTGACGGCGTTTTCACTTTCCAGGAATTGAGCTACGGCAGAAAAAATGAGTTACGGCAAAAATTATTGCCTCAACAGCCTACGGCAAAAATTATTGCCTCAGGGTCTAGGTATGTCACATTCAAGCAGCAGAAGGACAACATGCATCCTCTGCTCTCGCTTCGCAGACCGTCATTTTGAAGGTGGCCTGAACAGAGTGTTTTAGGGCAGCAAACCCTGGTCTCAGGCCACCTTGAATTTAGCTTGAAAAATTGTTTGTTTGAACAAAAGGGTGCATTGTTTTTGTTTTGACATGGTTACCTATGTGTGGGCAGAACAAGACATGAAGCAGATTTGACACGCGGCCGCCAGCGGCTGCTCGAGCTCATTTGATTGCTTCGACGCGCAGTTGTCGAGAAAGGGAAGCGCTGGCTTCGTTTTGCAGCTTCTCAGGTTAGGGAGTATCAGCACCCATCAGTGGGTGGTTGATAAACCCCCGTGACCATTTCCATCCAATCACCATCCAATCACCAGGTGGCCATGGTGCTGGCTACCCCATGAGTGTTTACGTGGTAGTTACCTTACCTACCGTCCACGGTAGCCGTGAGCAGAATCTTGATCTGCCAGAACCGAGCTTTTCATCGTAGGAACTTTTTACATCGGGCGACAAGGGGGGTCATTGCAAGGGTGGAGAATGTGCCAACAGAGGTTGAACAGCCCTATACCACAGACCAGGATCCTAGTTCAGGTCTTTCAACCGCTGGTGTGGCGGAAGGCGCTGGGAAAAACAACCCGCGCGGCCAGCGGCCGAACCGCTTGGATTTCTTGATGCAGGACTTGAGGCAGAAACAGTGGCCCCTACCAACCGGCAGGTGTTTCATCCGAGGTCTTCCGCAACAAATCTCCTGACTTTCGTGTTTTCACAGACTCGCAGACTTTCCAAGTTGAAGCACCGGCAGTCGTCGACACGACCTGGCAGGTGACCTTCCTGACCTTCGATTCATTCTTCCCCCACCCGGGAGTCGTAAAAGGAATCATGGCTGGACGTTCCAGCGGTTCCAGCGCCATTTTTTTAATCCCCATGAACAAAAACCTTCAAGGCCATGTCCACAGATTTAGGCTTCTAAAGTGGGCTGCGCTGACCTACCCCTCGAATCTGCATGGGGAATCATGGGGATGTTTTTCAATCCAGAATCAGACGCCGACTCGTCAGCAGCATTCTGATTCGGAACAGCCGGATCAGAAACTGAGATCCATTCAGTTGGTCGTGAAGACCTGGAAAAAAGGTGTCCATAATGATCAGTAGTCCAAGAACAACTGCCCCAAAAGTATCCGAAAGCAACTCAAATCTCATGCCAGACACTCCATGTTTGGAACCGTTGCATACATTTGTATATACCCAATATATAAGTAATATACGATTTCTAAAATCTATCAAATGTCTATTCTAATCTCCAGCATGGCGTGATTTTTCTTGAAATGAAGATTTGTTGTTTGGCTCTTGGATGAATGCCTCATGTCCCACTCCTTTCAGAGACCTCCGCCACGCTTCGGCAGGTGCCCACGTGCTTCGACGCACGAGTCGAAACGCCATGTCGGGCCCCATGGGAGGGCAGGCGCGGGGGAAGGGCGAACGGTTGGGCTTTTGTGTGTGATCTTGCTGAACAAAAGCACCATCTATCATATGTTTCACGGTTTCCGGTATGTCTGGAGAAGAAGGGGGGGGTTTCTGGGTGAGGTAAGGCCTAACAAATGGCCTTTGTAAGCCACTGAACTCAGAGAAGTTGGGGGAATTCGATCATTGGATCAGCCCAACGTCGCGGCGAAGGTGCGCGGCGACAATTTTGTTTTGAAGATCAAGATCAGCGTGCTTGCCATGTACAGCTTGTAGAACCAGCTTGATTCGCATGTCAAGAAATTTATAGAACAATTTTAGATGCTTAAGGAGCCAAATGCAACAAAGCCGGGCCTACCAGAACCACCCAGTTTGGATGGTGATTGGATGGTCACTGGCGATGGGAGTTGCATCAACCATCCAAACTGGGTGGTGTTGGGAAGCTTTGGAGATTTCAGCAGGGTCTTCACGGTCAATGCTTATCCAGAATCCAGGTCCTTGGTTGCCCAAGTTCATGGGTCTTCGAGTTCGGCATCCCATTCCTATCCAAGCAGAGCAGCACTCAAGCCTCCATATGTTTCACAGCCTCCAAGCAGTGAAGACGTCTCATCCCTTACACCTACTCCATATGGAACGGGCAATACGTGGGATTCCTCATCTGCACTTCGTCGTTCGCCGTGCCACGAGGTTTCTAGTGAACAGCAATGGGACAACCCATGGGATAGTACCAAAACCACGCAAGAAACACTTGGGAATCTAAATACCACTCCTGGGGAACCTCAGGGACTTAGTGGGTGACCTCTGGGAAAACCACAGGGTCCTTCAACATCCGTTGGGGCTCGTGGTGCACCTGGCCAGGCTGGCTTGGTGCGCACCAAACCGGTGAGCAACCGGCGCATGCCCACGCGAGGTGGGGAGTCCGGGTGACCTGCGGTGGATCTGAGCGCGTCGGTGGATCTGAGCTGAGCAAATCTGATTTGTGGAAGACAGTCATGCAACGGTTGCTGGCAACCAGCTGGCTTTTTGGGATCGTTTCTTTTTGGTCTTCCCTGTGGGTGAATCGCCCAACAGGGGGTATCATGTTTTCTTTTTTACCAGTTCCTTATCAATCCAAGATCAGCTGAGCATGGAATTTTCAGTCTGATTCAGGTCTCCTGAATTCGCCGTCCGATCTTCCTGGATTGATTGGAAGGTTTGGGGACTGGCGATGGCGGCGATGGGGGGGTGAAGATGGGGAAGACCCCAGTGGTTGAAGACTAACGAAAGATCTGATAATCAGACATGAGGGGGCAGATGACAAGCTTTTGATCCGTAATATTCTATAGTAGCTGGAACATGACACCTTTTTGGGAAACATGCCGAGAGTGTTTGACCTCTTCCAAAGTCTATGGTGGTTGGGTCATTTGGGTGTCCGGCGTGCCCTTTGCCACCGCAGAGGCTTTAAGATGGGCAGCTACGTACGAATCACCTACAGGCCCGCCCGGGAGAGGCGTTTGGTTGAATACACTGGGGTGCCGAAAGTTGCGCTTCTTAACTTGTAAAACAGGACAATCCCCCTTAGAATCCTACGTGCAACATGTCGACACCTAAGTTGTGGTCAGATTTCCACACCTGAAAGCCTTATAAGTATTCTAAATTTAAACGGGTGTGGCGTGTCAAGCCGATCCGCTGTAGACTGCAAGTGTAATGTTGGAACAGAGTAAGAAGCTTAAACTTTAGGGTTCTTGAAGTATGGTTGCCGTTGAAGCGGCAACTGGTGGAGGACGCAACTTTGCGCGGGGGGGCATTTGCTGCACACCAGTGCTGCAAATGGTTTTGATCATCTATCCGAATCGAAAAAGATATGATGAGTCATGACCCTTACTTCGGACACGGTCCGCATGGCTTCCCCCTTCTGCTGAATTATTACTGATAGGTGCAAGTGTCACTACGTCACCGAAGCCTGAAGTCCTTAAGGGTACATAAGACGGGTAGCAAGATAGAACAAATGAACAAAAAAACATACCGGCAATATATATATATATTAATAATGGTTATATATATATATGTATTTAATATATATATCCCTTGGCACCAGTCCAGGTGCAAACGGAAGGTTTTTTGGAAAGAACCTGATTTTGAAGATTGGAATGCGTAAGCAACCCGTATTTTGCAAAAACCGGGTTTTCCAGCACCCTCACAATGAGGCACCTTGGAATGCCCAGTTGAGAAGCCATTTTGGCTTGGTATCGTTGTCTATTGGTGAATCTAACCCATGCACTTTGGTCACAACTGCAGACATATATATGTTTTGCAGACCACTACCTGGAGCTGAGAAGGAGATGTAATCTATAGATGTCCAACTAAGAAACATATAGACTTCCTTTGCCGGTCTTGTGGCTGCTGATGCCCCTTTTTCCACTGCATCTTGATCCAGCCGTGGGCCCAGAGAGCCTGCGGCACAAGATCGACTCTTCAGCTCAATTGCACTTCACTTTTGAAACCATTTCAATCATTTCAGGCAACTCTGAATCTTTGGCATGTCCAACAAGGCATTTGGCTTGAATCTTGAAATCCCTGAAGCTCCGTTTTCCCTTGCCATGCCTCGTCGTGGAAGCGGACAGGCCAAGGTGGAAAGGTCCACCTGCGAGACAGAAAACATCAACCGGGCATGGATGAATTCTGACGCAGTTCGATTCGTGACCATCCGCAACGACCGCATGTTTGATTCACACCGGGGTCGTGGAGCTGACAAGGTAGTAAAGGTTTCCATCAAGGATGCGGTGCACAACAAGTTTGCTTTGATCCCCTTGTTGGAGAGCATGGCTTCACACGACGGTCATCCATTACCCTATGTCAAAGATCTTGCGCGTGAGACCCTTGCCAAAGATTTGTATATATTGCAGAACAAAACTTGGGAAGTTGTAGGATCTAACATGATGTTCCTTGTCTTCTTTGAGGGTATATAGCTTGCTGAACGTCTTTGCACCCAAATAGGTTTCTATGGAATTGTCCACCTATCTCTCAACAACATTTCACATGCTGCGAGGATCAAGCTCTTCAGGCACAAGATGAATTTGATTCCGCACAAGGAGGCAGTAAGGGCGGATTCGTGGACTGTCAAATCCTTCTTGTCTTTTGTGAAGATGAAGACTCACAAGCGATTGGGTTCAAGGGAATCTTGTCAGGTCTATTGGAACACTTTGCCATATGCCCCCTTTTTAACTTTTCCACAATTACTATACGTCTATAGTTCCCAAGAATCTTTTCACGGTTGGCTGGCAAGCGCTTATATTCTCAGAATTATAGTTCTATATTCATTCTGCATGCATATAGCTGATTATACCTGTACGTATGTCTTGTTGCTTTCTTTCTCGCACTGTTTGCTAAGAACTCGGAATTCCTCAGCCTGCAGCGCATCTTGGACCCGACCATTGAGGCCAACGGTCTACTTCTCAAAATCATATGTGGAAATCTACACTGCGTGCATGCATCTTTATATTTATATGAATTCACTTTTGCTAGATGTCACTGGCAAAGCAGTTCCACATGATATTCATGTTCAAGAGAACCTTCCACTTTCCAGAACCGAGCCAAATCAAAATTAAAAGGGAAATCATAAGTCTGATATATTATCTGAGAAAGCCTGCCCCTGCAGGCTCGTGGACGAGACTCTGACGCTGTTGATGGTGATGGGGGTGCTGATGCTCCCCAAGACGACTCCCAAAGTTCATCGGCTCTTGGGCAATCAAGTGAGGTTGAAATTGGCGAGGACAATTTCACCTTTGATGATGAGGACCTCGAGGTAGAAGATGAGGATGACTCTTGGTTTGATGACATGGTTGCTAAGGAGCTAAAGTCAAACAGCGTGGTGCTTGTGGAGACTCCTGTGGAGACTCCTCTGACTGATACTGTGATCGAGGAAGACTCCCAACCTCCTTTTGATCCCAAAGAGAGCACACCTGAAGGAGCCCGTCCAGTCGCACGCCCTTTGACAGCTGCGGCCACGACTGCCGTGATTGAGCTGACAGATTCTCCTGTAATGAAGTGTGAAGCCAACCAGGTGGCGGAATCCAGCGCAAGAAGGACTGCAGGGACCAATGCGTTGGAGATCCAAAAGCTCAAGGACAAGCTTCAAGAGTTGGAGAAAGTCATCAGTCGCGTTCAGCCGGGTTCTTATTTGTGGGGTTTTTGGTCAAAAGCAGGTCAATGAACAAACATTTTATGATTGAAGTCTTTGTGTACACCTCTCTGCAATGGTTCAGTATGGACAAACAATTCACATGCGTGAAGATATGGTTCACGACTATGTCAGAAAGCTTTAGTCGATTAAAGAAACAGCCAGCTCATCTGTATGAATGTGTGCGTTTGTAATTTCTCCAGATTTTTAAACAATATATATTTAAGTAAATTTAACTTGAGCAATGCATATATATAGTTTTGGGGAGTCACATTTCTACTGTTTTTATATTTTCATTTGTGCTCAGGACATTGGAGAATAAGGTGCATCAGGATGTGAAAGCGGTTTCCAGCATGGAGAATGCCACATTCTTTGTGGATGACACGCTCCCGGTCGGCGACGATGTGGAGCAAACCGTCCCTCTGGAATTATCCCAAGGTCGAGTGACTACTTCGGTTGCCGCACTTATGAAGAGAGGAGAGGAAGAAGCGCGTGCAGCGCTCACGGCGGAAGAGATTGCAGAGCTGCAGAATGGAAAGGACCTGGCTGTTCAAACACGACCGGGTGCACAAGCATCATTGAACAAATTGTACAAAATTAGTGCTGCGAGCTTGGATATATTAATTATAAGTAAGACCTGCAATTTCATGATTTCTTGTTATATCCTTAATTATATATATATATATATATACCAAGTCTCATCGAAAGCTTGCGGCAGGAAGAACAGCCGCTCACCCGTCGTGCGCAATTGGGGCTGAAAGCAGACAAGAAAGAGGAGAAGGAAGTTGGGAAGGGCAAGGGAAGGGGTAGAGGACGGGGAAGGGGAAAGAAGCCATCCAAGGTCGAGGAGGCGGCCTGTGAACCCAAGGATGGGAATGATGATGAAATCCAAACTACCCCAGTGCGTCCTCGTCGGCTCCGCTTTGAAGAATTGGCCTCTCCTGAAGGCAACCAGCTTGCTGCAGCAGCCAAAGCGGGGGCCTCGCCACCCATTCGGCAAGAGAAGAAGAAGGTGAGAAGGTCCAAGGCCAAGGCTGAAGCCAAAAGCTCATCGGCTCAGGAAGGTGGACAGGAAGGAAATGGAATGTCTTCGTCACCGCCTGTGAAGCAAGCCAAGAAGCGTGCCAGGAAGCCCAAGAAGGCAGAAGAAACTGAGCCGGCACCGGAGCCTGAGGCGGCACGAGCGGCAGTTGGTGAGCCCTCCGCTTCTGCTGCAGGGTCAGAGCCTGGTAGAAAGCCGCCCGGAAGAGCTGCAAGCAGAGCTGCATTGAACCACCTCATTGAGTCCAAGCAGGATCCAGCAGCATGGCTTCATGTGCAGAAGCTTTGGGAGGCTATGGACAATTTGCCAGTGAAACAGAGCGATACCAAGAACATCCCCAAGTACATGTATTGGTCTTTCAGCATGTACTGGAAGACCAACCGCGTGGGGGTCCTTCAGAAGAAGGAAGGTTCTGAGAGGGTGAATGTCTGCTCATTCGGTGTCTCCAACTGCCGTTCCATCTCGGTGGCTATGAAGGCTGCGATGCTCTTTGCTGGGGTCTTAATTGCACTGTGAATCGTATTAATGACATTGCCCTTTCCAAAAGAAACCACAAAATCATAAATTTATCAACAAAAATATTTTTGGTATGCAATCTGGTCTACAATTTTTAGGTTTGAAGCAAGAAATTAAAATGCTCTTACCACTCCACACTGAGGTCGACTTCGTGGGCGGAGACAAGCCAGCCAAGGAGATGAAAGATGTGCAGGGCCTTGAGGTGCAGGCCTACAAGGATGCCCTACAGGATATTGTCAAAGCCATCGCCGTTGCAGATTTACTTGGGAAATCCCTGAAGGATTTCTGATCTTTTTTGGAAATGCGATGGCGCACTTTTGAGCGGTTTAAACTCACCAATGTGCAAAAAACATGCAATGTATGCGTGTGATATTTGAACAGCACGCTTTCGTTTCATGATCTATATAGACTTTTTGTGTGGATCGGCTGCACATTGGAGGTCGTCTTTTAGCAGCATATGTATGTAGAAGTCCTGTCTGCGGGCTGAGCTGTAGATTTGCAAGCGCCCCTCTATAGACAAGCTATGGGGTTGGCAATGGTCGTCTACTCCCGTATAACTCATGTGGCTTTCCACTCTGTTGATCTGACACCTTGGTTTTTCATGTTTCAAGGTTTGTGCTTGTGACTGTGGTTTCATCACCCTATATATATATATATAATTTGGACGATCCATTGTGGGGGTTTGGCAGGTACCCTGCCAAGCTAGCTTGACAGAGGCATAGAGCTGAAATCAGCGGCCCTTAATCCTGCAGGCTCT